AATAGCGAATCACAGCTTAGAATTATTTGTCGATCATCATGTGATCGACACCGCCATTCGACACCACTAATCTACTTCTTAAAGTATCGATTTGCATAAATGCCCATATACAATTAGACGTGATCTAAAATTAGATTTTATAAATCCGGTTGTCGTGTGATTGGCTAATTTATGTCGATCCAACAGGTTTATACTAATAATATATCGTCATAGTTATTGTTACACCAAAATAAAGTCGTAAGCCGACCGCACCCAGATATCCACTTAGCTCATTCATAATAGCCCATTTGATTCACAACCTTTAATAATTTGCTTATTCGCTATCCATTTCCATTTAAATTTACTACTATCCTATCTGACCAAGATATCCAATCAACTCTATTCCGAAATTCACGACAACTTTGCTCATCTTCATGTTCGTTGACTGTCTACCATTCCGAAACTTCCCGATAGTAGGCGTGCATAAGACCACGGGTTACCTGTAAGTTGGTCAACGGGTGACTCGAGGGTTGACTGGATGGCAATATCTCAACCCGAATTACTCAAATCACTAATTATTAAATCACTAATTAAATAACGAATATAATGATAACAATATATTGTAAATTACATAATCATACATACCATATTTGGATTTTTGCTATGAGACTAGCATCACCAGTCTAAAAAATTTCGCACATAATGTGATCTTTTTGCAAAACCAAGAAAAAAATTTCGCTAAGAAAAACATTTCGCTATTAGTTTAGAGTTAGGGTATTGCAAGTAGGTTAGGTTTAGAGGGTTATAGTTGTACCAAAATTTTGCGAGGAAAACTTTTTGTTAATACGCAGAAGGCAGCTTCATAGACTAAATTTTGAGTTGTGGACGATTTTCGACAAAACGACCGTTTGTTTTGAATTTTCCCGATCGTGCAACGTTACACCTAATCTTGAAATTTTTTTGCCTGGCGATTTTAGGGTTGTTGATTTTTGTTAACAAAATAACTCTGAATAGATCTTAGTTCCAGATAGGATTATCCGGATGAACGTTTTGGCTAATCATTAGCAAGTTGAAATTTCCGATGTAGCAAGGTCATCAAAATTATTTTAGTGTTTTATAAATTTATTCAGCAATTTTACAATCGATATCCGTATTTCAGGAAATGGAATGGATTTTAGTGATAACCCATTCCAATTTGGAAGCTCAGGTAGATTATTTCTTTTGTGAACCTAGTTAAGTGTACTAAGTAACTAAGTAAACTTGAGGTTTTCATACCGTACTATAATAATATTAGCTGAATCCCTTTGAATCTCTTGACCTTCATATTACAATTTACCTACTGAAGGTTACAAGGTAAAAGCCATTATGCGACAGAATTTTCACTTATTAAACGAAAAACAAAAGATAAAAAAAGTTGAAAAGTAACGATTAGTAAAAGTAATGTGAGGTAAGGAAATTAGATAACTTATTTTTTATTATAAATATTGAATAGAAATCTTCAAAAAAAAATAATTAGTATACAATAATAGTATCTAATATGTATATAAGTATTTTTTTCTACATCGTAAAAGTTTTTAGATAATAAAAACTTATATATTAAACTGAGATAATATGTAAAATCAAAGCCATGAAAGTTTTCTCAATAGAATAATATTGCGTAATAAGATGTTATATGAGAGAACATTCATTTTGGACTTATAAATATGAATTTCCTTAATTTCGTTTAATTTTATCATTCTTATTTTTTTAATATTCGTGATTTGATTGCCTGATATTCAGACGATCCTATGTCTTATGTACGTACCTGTACCTCCTGTCGGGGACCTGGTCGGGATTTTTTTATCGCTAGTTTCATCTGTCTAGGAAAAAATTCAAAAAACGAAAAGACAAAGGCAAGAGGTGTAGGAATATCTTTGAAAAATCGATAAAAGATTGATAAAAGGGCAATTTTAGTTGCAGATCTTCTACATGAAGATGTTACAAACTATAAAAAGTTAGAATACTCGGTTAAAAGCGATACGTATAATACAAAATAGATCGATTAACATAGAAAATTTTTCCGTAATTTAAATAAATATATTATTGAACTTTAAACAAATTAATTATTGCATATTTATATTCTGTCACAATGAAATTATCTTTAATACATTCTTATTGCACTGCCGGTAGAACCTCTAAACCCCACAATGAATTCAAATCATTTAACACAAGAGGTATTTTTAAGCTATATCATACATGTTATAGACGATAACATCTAACTTATATGATAATCCGATCAGTATTAGAGACCAGTACGTACGCTATAAAATATAGTATTCATTTCTATATTTGGTACCTGGCAGAACCTATATACTGCAAAAAAAAAAGTTGAAGTAATACCTAATCTTATCCTAGCCTAGCTTCAAATAAGTAATTTTATAACTGAACGCATATTTTTATCTGCATATTCTGATCAAGGAATAGAGTAAATTTGAGCTCGAATTAAACTATATATAGTATTTTCATTTAAAAACTATTTAAATATTTTCATTATTCCATAAACTAACGTATTATCCATAATAGTATAATATTTCTATTTTGTGTAATTTTAAGTTATATATAAAGTAAATTGAATACTTACAGTACATAAAATGTTGCTTTTATCGTTGCTACCTTGATTTTGTTTTTATTAAATGGCTAATCAAACTACAGTCCCTTGCAAGGTAATCTATAAAATTACATGAAAACTTTGATTAAACACATGAAGCTTTTAAGAATCATAAAGTATCTTAAAAATTACAAAAAATTAGTATACAATCGGTAAAACAATTAGGCAAGAAGATTATTCTGTAATAAAAGGTATATATAAATATATATATATATATAATTTATGTAGCTAATGTTTGTAACCTTTGAATAACTTTAAAATTCTAACTATTGTAAATTTTTTACTATACATAGAAGCTCAACACGTATGTATACGCGTTTCAGTTATCACGCACTTACAAATTTTACATATACAAAATTCAATTTTAATATTGTGTATTAATAGATAGAGACTAGTAAACTCTTTGCTGTAGAAGTTATTAGTAAAAGGTTCTTACAAGACCGAGAACAAATTATTCGTAATGAAATTTCTGAATTGAAAAAAATTTCTAAAGGTCACAAAAATATATTAACTCTGCACGACAATTTTGAGACTAAAAACAATCGTAAGCTATTATTATCATTCATTTAAGCTATCGTCTTTTTTCGTCGTCATAAAATGGATAATTTGTTTCTCCATAAAAATTTTAATAGTTTATTTGGTCACGGATTTGATACTTGGCGGTGGACTTTATGATTTCATCTATGAAAATGGTAGCTTTTTTGAACGTGATGCGGTTGGTATTGCTAAAAATATAACCGAAGCTATTGCATATTTACATGATAATGGTATCATCCATAGAGGTAAAAATTATATTATTATGTGCATATAAGTCCATACAAAATCAATATTTTGGCTTTCATAAACAGCCAAATCATTTTTTTTAATATTATAATGGCTGGTAGATTTTAAATTATTTATTACAGTAGATAAATTTAAGCTCAGGTTGCCAGATCTTTTTTAAAATTTTGTGATATATGAAAACCAAATTATTTTTATATACAGTATATTATTTTTTTGTATAATCTAATTAATATAATTTCAAAAATTATTGCAATCATAATTTCTCAAATATAAATTATAGATCTTAAGGTAACCCACATTTTCAACCTTACATCATTTATCTGTATTTATTTTTGTCTAGTTAATGATCTTTAATTTCATTCAGCCAGAAACATCCTCTTCAGAACGACTGATAAAGATTTTGATCTTGTTGTTACTGGCTTTGGGCTATCTAAAATTATTGACCCAGAAAAATTTGATATTCTCACGACTATATGCGTTAATCCTGCCTATGTGGTAATTAAGTTTTTCTAAATTAAAATATTTTTTTAAAATTAAAAGATGTTATCAATGTTAAATTAATGCTGCTATATTTACAGGCACCTGAAGTTCTTAAGGAGCATGAACATAGCAAACCAGTAGATATGTGGGCTATAGGTGTAATTACTTACTTTTTATTATGCGGCAACACACCTTTTGGGGATGGACGTGTAGAAGAATTGACGGCTATTATTCAAGCAGATTATAAGTTCGAACCTCAGGAATGCTGGGAAAAAATTTCTGAAAGAGGTAAAAATTAATTTTATTTTATGACAAGAAATGCTTAATTTAAATTAACTAACATTTTAAACAGCAAAAGATTTTATTAGCAAATTATTAAATATTGATCCCAACAGTCGTCTGACTGCTGATCAAGCGCTTAATCATTCCTGGTTTTATGAACCTTTACCTAATCAAATTAGTGATCAGACTTGTCGATTTAATTCTCGTAAAATTTTCAAAAAGGCTGTCAATACCATAAGAGTAATTAACGATCTTTCTCGTACAAATAGTTCTAATATTGTTAATTTAATAGAAGAGTCTAGAAAAGATGCTGATGAAGATATTGCTGAAATATTTTATATTGAAGAATAACGTTTTTCTTGATATGACGGATTAAAAAAAATTGTTATATAAACAGAGTTGATATATCATAATACAAAAAATTCTGTATCCTATTTCATAGTGCACCTTTTGGCTTCTACCAAATATGAGATTTTTGGATTAATTATTTGTTTATTAAGGCCATTAAAGAAATTGTGTTAATTATTATATTATTGAAAGATTTTATTCGTTTTTCTATAAATTATAATTATATTACCAAATTTTAAACAATAAAAGAGTTATTTAAATAAATTATAATATTACTAAACAAATGCGAATTGAATAATACGAGTGCCGCGGCGTGATAACCTGTAACTGAGCTTAGATAATGATTTACTATGATCATATTACCGTACTGACGCACTGGAAAAGCTCGTTCATAATTATGAAAACATAAATTTACCAAAGCATATGGACTAATTTGCGGATTATTATTAAATATTAAAAATTTATCCAATCTTTTGCAGTGAAAAGCTTTTAGGTCGCCAGTCGCTTTGGATGATTTTACCACTAAAATAACCTACTCGACAAACCGATTTTAACGAGCCCTAAATTCTCTAAAACCCAATCACATGATACAGGGATCGTTAAAGATTTGTGTCACTTTGTGTAAAATCTGTATACCCGAAGTAACTTCTTAAATTACGAAGTAACATTTATTTTAAAGTTCTCGGGATCCTGTGATTGGATTATTGAGGTCGCCTTATTAAGGCAGTCATTTTGGTGACAATCATCCAAAACGGTCTAGTAAATCGAAAATTATTTACCGTCAAAGGTTAGATACAATTCTAATAATTCTGTAAGTTAGCGTGATCTACTTTGAATTTTCATTTATATTGCTAAAAAAAGGTGATTTGTCGTGATCGCTGCTACATATTAGATACGAAGATTGTATAACGGGTATCCAGGTATCTAATTTATTGTTTAATAAGTTTAGGGAACGCCCATATCCACATGAAAATTACTATTTCCACCATGCTTTCACATGATTTTCTGTTAAATAAATATAACAAACAAATCATGATAAATTACGGACAATGGTGGAAATAGCAAATTTTCATGATAAAAATAGACGTTTCCTAATTTTATTATAAATTTAAAAAGCAAAATTTCAGATCCCATCTCTATTCTTATCAACAGTGCTACAATAATATTATCTAGCCGTCGTGACGCACCAACCTAGTAAACATTTTCCAGATGATATAGCTAAGGCATTGTAGGAATATCTAGATGTACATTAACTCATTACTGCAGTATTACGGTTTACAGTTTTATAGATTTTTATCCATAATTACGAAATATGTAATGTAATACTGATACTGTAGGTTAGATTAGTGTTAGAGGACTATAATCACTCCAAACTTTTATTAGAAAACCTTTTGTCAATTATAATTAAAGCGTAATATAAGAATATAAAAACTTTTACAAAAGAAAACATCAAACATATTATAGAAGGTAAAAAAATAAGATGCACATATAAATGCGTGTACCAGTACGATCACATGAAATGTGGAGGGATGGTTGCGTTCAACTTTTTGGTGCGCTATATTTTTTCCTATTTTAG